ATAGGTGATGGATTCTGCGTAGTGCTCGACGAAATGGTTCAAAGGCGCTTGTGAGGAGAACATAAATAGTGACTCAGGATTTAACAAGAATGCGAATAGAGTGCGGCCATACACCAATTGATGGCATCTAGATACACACCGTGTTCATAGTTATGGTGTGGTTGATTTACATGGGGGACTTCCACCTATCGCTAAGGACAAATAAAATGCTACACCAATGAATATTTTATTGAATAAAATAAGCGCGCTTTATATGGGAAAGAGCGTCCAAGTAAATGTCTTTTCTGGTCGAAAAATTCACCAGATCTACCAAACAGTGAATCCTCAGGGATGCTTTACGCATTATATTATAGTCGCCAGCGACAATTCAGATAGACCAATCAGCTATATTACTTAAGAAACTTGGTACTTGAAAGCTTCAGTCTCATCGCGGATTGGCGAATGAAATTTGGACGTTTTTCTCAATGACGGATTTAAAGTCACTTATGAAATTCGATATGCACTAACTTAAGAGACAAAATATATAAGTGGTTGGGTATGAATTATAATATTGGGTAAATCGAAGCATCGTTGATTAAAGTAGGTCTTAACTGCACCAACATGAAAATAGTGTTTTTCAGAGCGTGGCGTTGCTTTCGGGTTAAAGGGTTACCGATTTGTAGAGAAATCTCCTTCCTAAAGGTATGCAATCCACTTTCCTGTAAGAGAAGGTTAACTAGATTTGTTTAAACTCCTCATTGTGTAAAAGCGGTGAACTCATCACTTTTACCAAATTGCTTTTGCGCATAATTTTAAAGTATTGGTACAAAATGCGCTTAAACGAAAGAGCAATAACTTAGGCCAGTTTGCAAAGCAGCGCGATGCTTTTGGTTGATTCAAAATGCTCCTTAATGATTCGACTGCAGGTGTCGCTGAATTTATGAATATATAGTGTATATTATAGATTCAGTACAATGACAATAACCATTTATAAGCTTGATATCGTTGAAGATAATATTAATTCAGGAAGCAAAATTGTGTCAAAGACACATGTAAGGTAAAATCGTCAGTCGATATTGCGAAAGAGCATGCCCGCGAGATCAGTGAGGGAGCAATAGTGGTCATGGATAACTGGAATATTTGATAATATTATTGCATATTTGAAGGCTGGATACAAAGAAAAATTAGCAATCGTTCAAACCTTGACATTTGTAGGTAGACCTTTGTGCGTCTAAATGTGACGAATTTCTACCTAAAACCATTAAACAACCCTATCAATCCTATGTTTACATTTAAATGTACATATACATATATACATCCAAAGAAAAGATTGTCATGATCCAGCGCCCAAATTAGGCACCAACATGCCAACAAATCATAAGAACCAATGTGTTTACAGGTTGTAGATTTTCAGAGCATAAATCTAAATGCATTACGGAAGGTGAGTCGCTCGCCTCACGGTAAGCAAACACAAATGATTAGCAATTGATTATACAGTTGACAGAATCAATGTCCTACGAATGGCTTCTGGTAGAAGTGCCGCAACCAGTAGAATCCGATTCTGTTTTTGTCAAAACTTAAAAGTTGAGGCAATACTATCATGAAAGTCTGCAAACCAGTATTAACCCCACTGTGTAAATAGTTAACATCCCATCATATCTTTGTCGTTCCGATGCTTTGAAACTGTGAAAGCTTTTCGAAAAGTTGGATAGTTTTTTCGTTAGCGGTAGCGGTTCTCGTGATACCAATTTGCCATGTAACATTTCAGTTGCATTATATGACGTAGATGGTATTCATGCTGAAAAGCCAATTCAAAAGAGGGACGTTAGACGGATCTAGCTCGCAGCGTATGTGAAGAAGTCGGTTACTTATTCGTTACATCTATTTTTGATGACAACGTTAATTTTTAAGCTCAGAGGTTTCCATCATTCTTCCGATCGGACCTGTAAATAATTGACAATTGCTTCCGTTAATTATCCCTGGTTCCATTTTTTCTCTTAGTAAAACATTCGTTAGCGCACTTAAACCATAACTCTCCATCGCTTGTTACTTTGGCATAAATATGTATGCTTCTTACTTTTACATTTTACGTAACGGGGATTCGCTTGCAACGTTATGAAACAGCAGAGCACGTGGTACGTTCCGAGTGAACAAATCGATGAGATTTATAGTTTTACAAATGTAATACGATTGTATACCTTATGTTTTATGTTGACATGAGTAGAAACAAGCACCGTGAAACAAGCCAGTAGCTATTAGTTTGTAGATCCCGAGTCAGTGATTTTTCTGAAAAACTAATAGTACCGAAATTATATTAAGGTAATGCAAATCGTGAGGTATTTGCACTGTTATTTTTCTTTTGCAGTTTACCTCTGTTGGCCTATCACCGTAAATTCAGAAATGCTAATGTTTTAGCAAGAAACAATAAGGCCAGTACACTGACAGATTATTCCTCTACGTAATTTGAGGCATCTACAGCTCGTTTATTCAATCATGTTGAATGACTTAATGTCTTAAGAAATCATACCACAAAAATGTTTTAGCGTTAATTGCTATGTTTTAGGATACCTGTCAGCTGAATACCAACCAATTCCTGCGATGATTGAGAACGCTCTATTCATTCCATACCATGATCTTGAATTCACTCGAATGCACTGGGCAGACGTGCTTCGCTTTTGAATCAAGGAACAGCTGCATCATTAAATTCTATAGTACTTGTTGACTTGAAACTAAATATGTAGACGTTTAGGCTGTTAGCCTTATCCGAGAAATATTTCTCCTGGAACCTGGGTTATTCTCCAAACTGATTCTTCTTCCCGAGCGTGTAGATAGTGTTTGTACGACTCTAGATAAAATTAGAGCCGATAGATTTTTGCACATTTACACTTGTTCCTCACGGTGTGGCTTTATAGTTACAAGAAAATTAATAAAGGATGCTTGAAGCGTCCACTTCTAATAAGAGCAGGAGTGAGCATATTTAGCCTAATTAGCTTAAAAATGGAAACAACCATATGCAACAGGTCTATACAGGTTAATCATCATCCTGGGATTTGCAAAGAAACGGCCATATTTTTTCTCTTTTGTATTCAATGCACTGCCCTGTATTTCATTCGTTCTTGTGGACTATGCACATTTGCACATATAAACAAACGGAGCAAACATCCAGGAAGCAAAATATCAGAAGCATTTAATTCCTTTAGAGGACACAGACGATGGAAGATCTCAAATCCAGTGTAATGGCCAGGTGCGTAGTCTGAACCAACGGGAATTTTCAAATTTGTCGTATTATGCATTAATAATAAATATTTTCTGTTTATATGGTGGCTAAGATAATAATCATTATTATTAGCTGATGTTCTTGTCCTAAATGTCGACGTGCCAGGGACACATTAATCTTAGCTAAACAGATTATAATTATCTTGTTTTTCGGTCATCGTTAAAGACCTTTCGCACAGTGTGTATTCTTGAAATGTAAATATTTGTCCCCCTGTTATTTGTGTCTCCCTGTCCAACAAGTTGTGGTAGTTTTACACAAACGTGAACACAACATACGGTTATTGATTATCGACGCAAAAGTATAAGGCGTAATAACCTCAGTGGTGCTATTTGTTTGACGGGGATCGAATCACTTTTTGCCTGAATTGAAAAAAGCAACTCACTTGATGGAAATTTGTACCTTCCAAACAACTTGTATAGCTTAGGAGCATATTTTGGAATAATTATAATTGAATAGAAGCCGGTTGTTATTTACCCTTGACGATACGTTGTTAGCTTTGCATAATTTGTTCGTCTTGTTGTTCAGCAGAAGATACTGTCAAAAATACCCTGTTTTGAGTTAATGTACTGATGGGAAACGTTTTCTCCTAACCGATACTGAACTTGTAATTCCATTTCGCTAACGAAGAAAATAAATTGATAATGCACATTCTTTGTAGTAGAAGCGGGTTCCTGAAATGTCCTATTACAAGCACTTTAACAGACATACTCCACGGTATCAATGGAACCCGACTGAAAGCGCAGTTAGTAAGGCAATTCAATGCATACAGCTAAACTATAACGTCCATGTGATCTTGTTACTTTAATAGGACATTTGTAATCTGCTATCATCTTGAACGGTCAGGTTTTACGGACTTAGTTGCGAGTAAAAATATGGTGATATATTTTCGAGGGTGAAACAGGCGGACATACATCTAATTGTCTGAAGTAAATATTAACTAAATAAAAAATATCGTACACGGCTTCCTCCTTTACGATGCGAGGCATAGTAAAAAATGGTCTGATCCATATGTGCAAAATGCATAAAATGTTTAATTGCTCACTTTGTATAAAGCATCCTTAATGCGCATTGTAAGTGATTGGAGTTTTGCAACTATAACTGTTATTAATAAAGCTATAACAATAATAGACGCAGTTAGCCAAAATTGTAACTAAAGTAATAAGACCATCCATGAAACCTTCTTTAGTGGATCTGCTTCCATGCAAGGGTAATTCCTTGATGAGTTTCTCACGCACCACCATGTCATAATTTAATGTGCGCATGTGTGGCAAATAAGAAAGTATGCCATCATTTTTTCACAGATAATTTTTAGTAAGGAAAATACGTTTGTCTTCAAGATTTTGCACCGGTAGTCCGTTTTCAAGTCGACACTGTTTTCCATAGCAACTTGGTTGCACATTAACTGGATCCCGATATCACAGTGTGGGCTCTGTGCAGTTCATTTGAACGGAAATACCTGTCTCGGGACTCGCGCAATTGCATTCCACTCAATGCAAACGGAATCTTTTCCACTTTTATAAACTTATGACATGCTAAGGCACTATTATCATCATGCACTAATCCTAACTCCGGCATTCATTTTCTAACTTATCATTTTAGCGGGGACCCCATGTGACAAAATTTAGGATAGCGTTTGCAGGGGTTGTTTGGAAAAGAAATCAACAACAACTACGTTTGAGCGTTAGTTGGGAGTAAAAATGGTTCTAACATTGCAAGCAGACTGTGTGTAACCCCCCAACGAAAGTTAAGACCACCTCCCCCCCCCCCCCCCCCCCCCCCCCCCCCCCCCCCCCCCCCCCCCCCCCCCCCCCCCCCCCCCCCCCCCCCCCCCCCCCCCCCCCCCCCCCCCCCCCCCCCCCCCCCCCCCCCCCCCCCCACCCCCCCCCCCCCCCCCCCCCCCCCCCCCCCCCCCCCCCCCCCCCCCCCCCCCCCCCCCCCCCCCCCCCCCCCCCCCCCCCCCCCCCCCCCCCCCCCCCCCCCCCCCCCCCCCCCCCCCCCCCCCCCCCCCCCCCCCCCCCCCCCACCCCCCCCCCCAACCCCCCCCCCACACCACCCCACACCCCACCCCCCACCCCCACAACCCCCCCCACCCCCCCACCACCCCTCCCCCCCCCTCCCCCCCTCCCCCCCCCCCCCCCCCCCCCCCCCCCCCCCCCCCCCCCCCCCCCCCCCCCCCCCCCCCCCCCCCCCCCCCCCCCCCCCCCCCCCCCCCCCCCCCCCCCCCCCCCCCCCCCCCCCCCCCCCCCCCCCCCCCCCCCCCCCCCCCCCCCCCCCCCCCCCCCCCCCCCCCCCCCCCCCCCCCCCCCCCCCCCCCCCCCCCCCCCCCCCCCACCCCCCCCCCCCCCCCCCCCCCCCCCCCCCCCCCCCCCCCCCCCCCCCCCCCCCCCCCCCCCCCCCCCCCCCCCCCCCCCCCCCCCCCCCCCCCCCCCCCCCCCCCCCCCCCCCCCCCCCCCCCCCCCCCCCCCCCCCCCCCCCCCCCCCCCCCCCCCCCCCCCCCCCCCCCCCCCCCACCCCCCCCCCCCCCCCCCCCCCCCCCCCCCCCCCCCCCCCCCCCCCCCCCCCCCCCCCCCCCCCCCCCCCCCCCCCCCCCCCCCCCCCCCCCCCCCCCCCCCCCCCCCCCCCCCCCCCCCCCCCCCCCCCCCCCCCCCCCCCCCCCCCCCCCCCCCCCCCCCCCCCCCCCCCCCCCCCCCCCCCCCCCCCCCCCCCCCCCCCCCCCCCCCCCCCCCCCCCCCCCCCCCCCCCCCCCCCCCCCCCCCCCCCACCCCCCCCCCCCCCCCCCCCCCCCCCCCCCCCCCCCCCCCCCCCCCCCCCCCCCCCCCCCCCCCCCCCCCCCCCCCCCCCCCCCCCCCCCCCCCCCCCCCCCCCCCCCCCCCCCCCACCCCCCCCCCCCCCCCCCCCCCCCCCCCCCCCCCCCCCCCCCCCCCCCCCCCCCCCCCCCCCCCCCCCCCCCCCCCCCCCCCCCCCCCCCCCCCCCCCCCCCCCCCCCCCCCCCCCCCCCCCCCCCCCCCCCCCCCCCCCCCCCCCCCCCCCCCCCCCCCCCCCCCCCCCCCCCCCCCCCCCCCCCCCCCCCCCCCCCCCCCCCCCCCCCCCCCCCCCCCCCCCCACCACCCCCCACCCACCCCCCCCACACCCCCCACACCACCCCCCCCCCCCCCCCCACCACCACCACCCCCCCCCCCCACCCCACCAACCAACCCCCCACCCACACCCCCCCCCCCCCCCCCACCCAACAACACCCCAACCCCCCCCACCCCCAACCCCCACCCCCCCCCACACAACCCCCACCACCCCCCCCCCCACCCCCCCCCCCCCCCCACCCCCCCCCAACACCACCCCCCCGCCCACCCCACCCCAACCCCCCCCCACCCACCCCCCAACCCCACAACCCCCCACCACCCACCAACCCCCCACCCACACACCCCCCCCCCCACCCCCACACCCCCCACCCCCACCCACCCAACCCCCCCCCACACCCCACCGCAACCCCCCAACCCACCCCCCCCCCCCCACCACCCCCCCCACCCCACCCCCACACCCACACCCCCACCCCAACCCCCCCCCTCCCCCACACCCCAACACCCCCCCGCCACACCCCCAACGCCTCCACCGCCCACCCGCCAAACCAGCCCCCATACACCCACCAACCCCCCCCCACTCCACCCACACACCTCAACCCACCCAACCCCCCCACTACCACACCAAACCAGATACAAACCCCAACACCCACCAGACCACCACCCACTCCATACCCCCAACCCCCCTCCCCCCCCAACCGCCCACACACCCCACCCCCCCCACCCCCCACCACCCCCCCCCCACCCCCCCACCTCCCACCCCCCATCGCCCCCCTCCCCACACCCCACCCACCCTCCCCCCCCCCTCCCCCCCCCCCCCCACCTCCCCCCCCACCCCCACCCCCTCCCCACCACCCCGCGCCCCCCCCCCCCCCCCCCTCACCCCTCCACTCCCCCACGCCCCCCCCCGCGCCCCCCCCCACCGACCACCCACCCACCCCCCCCCCCCCCCCCCCCCCCCCCCCCCCCCCCCCCCCCCCCCCCCCCCCCCCCCCCCCCCCCCCCCCCCCCCCCCCCCCCCCCCCCCCCCCCCCCCCCCCCCCCCCCCCCCCCCCCCCCCCCACCACCCCCCCCAAATCCCCCCCCCCCACCCCCCCCCCCCCCTCCCACCCCCCCAGACCCCCACCCCAAAACATACACGTGCTCCTAACACGCCCCCCCTCCCCCCCAATCTCGCCCCCACCTCTCCCATCCTACATAATCCCACCACACACGAGACACACCCCACCACACCTCTACATCCCTAAGTACTGTCGAGTCGCCTGTCTTTCATAACCCCCCCCCCCCTCACCAGCCCACTCACATCCCCCCTGTCAGACACACCCATACTCTCAGAAACCTATAGTCCCGCTACCATTCCCACAAGACTTTACTACAATGAAGAACCCTTCATAAATCGATACTACCACCTCATCTCGCACAAATCCCCGTAGTACATGTACAGTAATCACTACCCTCTCCAACCCCCTCCCAGTCGCCACCCATATCCCACATCCAAGAACCACAGGCCCCTACACTCTCACACACACCGTCAGCCCTCTCAGACGTACACGACCTTATAGACCTGACTACTCTACCCACCAATTGAGAACACGCCACTCTGCCAGCTGTCGCAGTACACTCGACATACCTACATAGCCCCTCTCAATTCTGTATTAGCTCCCTCAGGCCCCCCCCCCCAACGTCCCCAGACAACACTAAGCTCACAAGAGATCCCTCCTCAAAATATTCCCTCACTTCAACACCTCATCACACACCCCACCACACGCTCATACGCGCGCTCCAATATCCTGCGGTCCCCTCCATCCACACTGGTGCGACACGCCACATCCTCTACGCTGTGACTTCACATCTAGTGTGCAGTACTCACTCCTAACACGTGTCCATACACTCAGTGTGAGACTGGTGCACTCCACACAGACCCGCCCTTGAGTCCACAACTCGCGCCGTACACTATGTACACTCGCGACCCTATCAAGAATTGAGACATACCTAACAGTACGTCCGCTCCCGTAAGACATCACCTCCCCTTCCTCCCGACGCCGCCCACCACTCCTGCAAACTGACTACATTCATATAGATCCCTAGCCTAAGAACGCGGCGCCCCTCCAGATCTCGCGCGTCCTGCATCCGACACTCTCTCAGTTTCCATACCGCGACCATAAATGAGTGAATACATACCCTCGCACACACCTAGAAAGATCGCCTACGCCGCGACCCCTGATCCTCTACCTCAACCACCCACAGGTCCCACGCCTCTCTCCGCTCACTGCAGATCCTACTCGCGCCCACCCCTGTCAGTGACAACGCTCTCACCGTCCACATCTCAGTACCCATCTCCCGCTCACGTCACACGCATCCACTCGCCCACTCCATACCCTTTCATAGCCTATCACCTCTGTACCCAGAAGTGAATTAGAGAGAGACTGCTAATTTATCTCGGTGCGTCTGAAGACTCGTAGATCGGAAAGAACCTTAACTCGGCGTCTGCCAGCTGTCTAGAGTAGACCGAGACCCACATCTCCAAGACCACACCCCCCCCCCGCGCCCTCCCTCGCCGTGTGACCTCCACAAATCCTAACCATGTAGCTCAGCAAGGATATCGAGAGATCTATCGCGCCGCACCTTTGCACATACCCCCCACTGCGACTGAGATAATCCACATCACGTGAACCATACCCCTATAGATCTCTATAGCCCTACCTATCTCGAGACAGTGATCGAGCTGCGCAGTCGCTACCTAGAGATCCCCTCCCCTGCGAACTCACCGCATACATCTCGCCCGCGCCCTGATACTTTGACAGCCCCCCTGCACAGTTGCCTATCCGCTCGCTGTTTGTGGTTGTCTATGTAGTCTCTGACATCCACACAGAGATACAGAAAATACCCACCTCATCTGGACACTGACGTGCTACTATCACACCATCCATACTATCCCTTCGTATCTTCTGCAGCCACAGAAGTCACACATGCCCCGCGCCCTCAAATCTGTGTTTCCAGACCCTCGGCACCTCTCCCGCCAACTCTCACTTCCATCGCAATACCCCCCAGACCCCCACCCCCCCTTCACATAGCTTAGCGATAGACCATATCCACCCAATCTGACACTCCCGATCACTCACCCATCTATCCCAATCTATGAGTAGATCCTGCCTAAGATGATGTTAAGCACACTAATCACTCATCCTATGTGAACCTCCAGAGTGTGAAAGTGTAGATACGCGCTCACCTCAATCGTGCACCTGCCCCCCCCCCTCACGCGATCCAAGTAGAGACTCACATCGTTGAAGTCCCCCCCCCCAACCCCAACCCCCCCCCCCACATAACCCCCCCCCCCAAACCCCACAACACTATGTGAATTACAGTAACCGTGAGTCATATCTGAACCAATCACTCCTAATTTAGTTATCACTTCATCGGCATTTAACGTAAACTGCTGGCGTGAAGGCAGAACCTACTCACTTCGTTTATGATCTCAACACTGGTACTGCAGAACTGCTTAGGATGGTGAACGATGGTCTGTGGATTAGTGCGTTATTTATACACTTGCTGAGGTCAAAGCGTACTGCCTAGGATCAGGTAAATTGAATTAGACTTATGGCTGGGCTAACATGCTAGCTGCGTTTCCTTTAACTTTAGTATGTCTCATTGGATTTAATGAACACTAGTGAATAACTGGTATGCAAGCAAGTGTTAGTAACTCCTGTGAGAAAAGCTTGAGAAGAAAAACAAAAGGAAAAAGAAGCGACAACGAAAAATGATATAAGCCCCATTTTCTCCTTATAACTTTTCTGGGCCAAGTAGGTATGTGGTGAGTAATCGAGCGCGGATACCAGAAAGCAGCAACATCGGACAAAGCGGACTAGATTATAACGGTACAACAAAATGAAGAATGACGAAACGAGCGGCAGCAAAAGTCAATGTCGGACTAACCAAAACGTAAAAGCGACAAACCGTATGAAGTTAACACGCTGTCATGAAAGAGTGATTAAAACTAGGAAGATTAATGCACCATTGATCGAGAATGAAATTGTACACAAAGGTAGACATTAGTTATTCTTTTGGGCTTTATAGAGTTCCCTTACTGGCATGACGAAAAAAATGATTCCTTCGATGTGGAAAATAATAGGAGAAGCTAGGTTCCTTGGGCTACGTCGGGTCGATTGTAATGCTTGATCGTTCGGGTCAAATGGGCTTTCATCGCAAATCGAGTTCGCTGTGCCATTTGTTATGCATTATTTATCGATTTCAAGGCAGGATGCATTACGGCGGGTCGTTGACACAGGCTTACCTGACATCAAAGTACTAAGGGCCTAAGAAGGTACCTCAAAATTGGCTGCTGCCAAACGGTGCGCTTAGGAGTAACCTCTCTTCCCACCACGCTGACTGCGAGGATCCTCAAAAATGTCGCTTATGTTGGTTTGTCAATCGAAGAGCAGGGTGCTGGCATGTAGAGACGAGAAAACCTAAAGATATACGCATAACAAATAAAAACAAGCGAAATACGGATGTGTGAAAAGACGTTTAGAAATTGTGGTTTTTGTACTATGTAAGGTTTTGCATACTTTTTGATGCTTTTAATTTTAAAACGCCAGTTGAAAAATAAAAAGGGGGCAAATGTATATACGGAAACATAAACGGGCTTAAGAACTTCCCGATCAAGGCAGTTATTATTTGGATGCAGCAAATTATATTCGGAAGATATCGGGAAGGCTTATGCTAATAGACAAGGCTCGTGCCCTGGTTCGTCGACGAGATGCTAAAAGGGGGTGCTATTATTTGTAATGTAACAGGAAGCATAGAAAGACGTATTATGCGAGGTTATTTTCTTAATAAAGCCCCGTATTAGTTGGTAGATGTTGATGACTTTGCGTCGTTTATTACGGTCGATTGTCAATAGCTTAACTGTTCGGTTAATTATTTTGAATGGTCCGATGTACGGCGACTGAAGAGACAGTGGAACACCGTCTATGCAACGCTGTAACTGTAAGCAAGTATATCCTTCCTGGGTACGTACTTTGGTGTGTTCTGTAACCTTGAAATGGGTGGTCGCAACATTTCGTGAGCCAACCGACCAGTTTAACTTGCGTAGTCTAAGGAGGAAGAGGACGGTGCTGGTGCTAACACCCGTCCGAGCAGACACAGTGGGTATCTGTAGACCATTTGCATTCGTGTTACATTGACATCGGCTTTTACCGTGTTCCTCAGTATTAATAGGAGGAGGAGGGGAAACTTGTGGCAATATATAGGATCTGCGTGCAATTGGGGTGCTGCCTTCAGTTGAAGAGGTAATTGCTTTAACATGCCGTTAGCGGCCGGATTGTACGTTGGCGTCTGGACTCAGCACCAAACCAAATGCTTAGGCTACACGGCAAAAATGGACAAGAAATGTTACCTTCCACATTTGACCACGATGGTGGGACAGTCATACTGATGCTGTACAGCACGCAGCTCCTCGGCACCAAGCCTCTCATCCGCAATAACACCTCCTTGTTGTATCACTAGAAACACACTCGCACAGCTCCCTAACAGAACCCTCCCATTCCCTGTAACACCCCCCAGTCTATCTCCTGCCTGTCAGCACCCATTCACCCCATCACTGAATAGTACCCCCTCCGCACGCATCACACGACCAGACTCGCCGCCGACCCCGTACAGTCTACCGAACTCCCGCCCCCCGAACTCCATACTCGCCCCCAGAGAGTAACCCTCCAATAAGTGTGCACCAGATTCACACTCATCGACCCTCACCCTCAACTTATCTCGCTATCCTGCTGCCGCCGCCCACGCTGCCCCCCCCTGTACGGAGGAGACCCCCATACCTCCGCGAGACATCGCCCTCTGAGCTCGCTCGTGCGCCAAGAAACCGGGCTGCACATGCGACTGCGCCATTGCGCCAGCACCCCGCTCGCCCCCAGAGACCATACCCCACCCCTACCCACCCCCCCTAGTCCACAAACACTCCCTGTCTTTCGTGATCCCCCATAACACGGCCCCTCATTGCAACAACACCACAACTTCGACCCAAAATTTCACATCTCCGCATACCGATCTCACACCAACTCGTAGGCGTGCTACGCCCTCACGCACCACAAGCACCGAGACATACCCACACACTACTGCCGATCGCCCACACTCTATGACTTCAAAAGAGAGACACAACCAACTCAGTGTAAATCCCGCACCACTCCAGCCATCCTACTACCTCCCCTGACGGTAACGATGCTAATGTATATAAAAACACCGATCCGCAACCCTACCCCACCCCCACCCCACGACCGCCCCGCAACCCCCCCAAATCAGGACAACAACACCACTCACTCCCACTATCCCCCCCCATCCGCCGGCTGCCTCTCCACCCCCCCCCCACCCCACCCACCAACCCAACACCCAACCCCACCACCCAACAAACCCCCCACCCCCCACCCCCCAATCACACCCCCACATGATCCCACCGTCCATAATACATACAGTAACAGACTCAGTCCGTGCCGCAAGACCCGGCCCCCCCACATCCGTATACGCATCTTAGATTAGACCCAGCACCCCCTCCCCGCACTCCCGCTAGCCAGTCGTCACCCCTCGACCTCTCCGCCTCCAGAGAGACCACCCTCTCCGCCACTCCTAAAACGCCCTCTAGTTCTAGGTATAGGCATACCCTCTACATCATCGACCCTCGACGGAATCCGATCTGGAAAGACACAGCGTGGAATCCACAGATGTAGACTCTCCTCGGAGAGCCGCCCACACGAACACCGCCGCTACCCCACCCCCCACAAACCGCAGATAACCCTAGTTACGATCGCAACAGACCCATCCTCCCTACTAGTCGCCACCGCCCAGTGAATCGCTGTATCGTAGCCTAGCCTACCGCATAGTCGTAAACATGCAGATACACGCTCCGCCGAAAATCGCCTCACACAGCTTCACCTTATACCTCATGAAGATGCTGCACCGCAGATGCCCATCCCGTAATATATGAATCTGACCGAGATACGTTGTCGCCTAGAACACACATAATAGTAGGAGAATATACCGCTGACTCACCACACCTGTCCAGCCTACACAGGGCCTTTCTCGTCACGCCCCTCCATCCCTCATTGGCCACTCACTCCTGTAGATAGGAGATGTTTCCTCTCTCAGACTCTCAGGCCACTAAGATACATAAATCGCACAGCACCTCTGTCACGATACATAACTCACAGAGCCTGCACGCCCGACCCGAGAGCGACCCATAAGAACCCCAAACCCCCAACCACCACCCCCCACCACACCCCCAACCCCCGACACATCTGAGGACCAGACCAAGAGGAGAGCAAGCGAGTGCTCGAATACTCGAGACTCGTGCTGCCACCAGACGCATAGAGCTATCCACCTACGCCAGTGACACCCACCCCCACCAGACCTGAGGGCGCCGCAGAGTCGCGCACCTCGCCGCCATCTCGCATGGTAGAGACCCCCCGGTGGCAGCCTGAGAACCTGCTATCTATCCTTCCCTCAGAATCATCACCGCTGTCAGAAATGACGTATGCTTAAATATATGGCTAACAGTTCTCTACCGAACAAATGTAAAGAGATTTGTCAGGTTGCGGATGTCTGAAGACCGCCAGCGGTTACCAAGTGTCACCTACTTCCTGCTGTAAAACAGCAACTGCTGCCAAGTAGAGGTGACCATACTAAGTGATAATGGAGCTATCGGATCGTGTCGTGCTTCAGAAGCTATTTTGGCGATGGCTTCTTGCAAAACTGGAAGGCCTCGCGTGTTGCAGTAGAAATCTTGAATTTTGTAAGCTTCCTTCAGTGAAAGTCCATGAGGAGCTGCATGATCCAAGCGGAACTACTTATGAACTGCAAATTAAATTTGAAGGCGCCACCTAAGCTTCATAGTTGTTTGAAAAACAGGCTCAGGGTAGTCAATGATGGCCTTAATTTTATAATGTAATGGCATGAGGCCTGAATGAGAGATATAATGGCAGACGGAATTAACGTAATCGACACAAAATGAATGGTTTTGCGCGTTGGTCATTACCCGTCTTTCGCAAGTGACGCGGATGCTCCGCACTTGAGGAGTTAGAGAATAGGGTGTCGTCGCGATACATGTAGGCAAAGTCGAAACCGCGACTAACTTGACAATTGAAAGTTTAAACCAATTTTTGTGTCATTACCTAAACCAAATGGCACCCGCAGATTCGAAAAAACAATAGAGACGTCACGGCAGTTTTAGCGATGTCCGCTTGATCTAGTATACATGATATCGGTGCTAACAGGCCAACTCGGTCAGTGTAACCTCTACGGAACGCATACGATCCATCGTTATCCATCCACTCAGACGGAATAGACTCAAGCCGGCCTCTCGAAGCGCAACGTGTCACCCCGCTACCCCGATAGCCATATTACACTTATCCATCATTGCGGTTGAATCTTATTCCACACCAGATAGTATCGACTGCTCACTCACACAACTCGGTCGCATAACTACCCGAACTATATATCCCGCCAGCAATACCACCCCCCCTCACGTCTGACCCGTCCCCACACCTAAGATTCTTTAGCCCACCACAGCATGCACCCACGACAGTAAATCCCCCTCCCTAGAGAAGCTGCACCCTCACGCTCGCGCATACACTCTCCTAGCACCAGCAGAAAGATAAGATTAGAGCCAAAGTGCAGAAGATAAACCCCACATCCGCCCTGGCCCCCCCCACCAGTCACGCAGCCGAAACCCAACACAACAGATACTGATGTTCCCCATCCGGCTGCGCCGCCTCATAGACCCTAAAGCGTTCGCTGCACAACGACTCACACCCATCTATAACATGCCACCAGCTCCACCAATATTAACACCCTCCGAGACTCACGAGATATAAGCGCTCGCCGATCTGCGGACAGAGCTACCTCAGACACCCACCTAGTCCTCTGATGAAATCACACCCTCAAAAGCTCTCGCCTCTAGTTCGATCTCGCCCTAGATCACCTATGCCACTACAAAATCAAGATCCACACGACTCCTTAACCTAACGATTCATCCGCTCGCATCTTCCTGCGCAGAAAGATAATCCGACTCACCGCTAATCAAGAAGCTCCGGACTATGTGAGCACCACCGCTCGACTCCATCTACCACAACGCCCCCCACCGTCAGCAAACACCCCTCCCCATTCTATCCCTGACCTACACCATAGAACCCAGATCCACATCCCCTCCCATGCCCTCCGCCCACCCCCACCAGCGACTCACACCATAACACTCCCATACTCTCATAGATCTAGCCCCCCAGAACAACCAGACTCCCAGCGAGACGCGGCACTCTGTACACGCACCACCCCCCCCCAACCCCCAACCCCCAAGACCCCCAGACAGACCGCTCTCCCCCCCAACCGCCCGAACTAGCGCCCCACAACCCCTGCCCCCGAAACCCCGCCCCGCCCCCATACCCAAAAAACATGCCGTACGTGTGTCAGACATGTTTCACACCTGCTACTATAGTGCACCAGCGCGCCACACCCCTTCATAGACGCCTGTCGCCTAACCCAAAATCTCCACGCCCCACTTTCCGCCCTCGCGACCTCAGTGCGCCGCTCCCTAGACTCTCACATACAACTCCACACGCCAGACCCACCCCCCCCCCCCACCCCCCCCCACGACTCCATAACATCAACGATACACGCATCGGAATTTAAAGCTATGCAGTGGCAGATTGCAACTCTCATTCATCGACACAACAGACCAAGCCTCTCACTCATCATAGTATAAGTGAAATAAATATTCAAAACGCTCATCTTCTAAAGAAAAATATGATACAAAACTAGAAAATGACAGATATGATTGACACTACTCGTGATTAAAATAATGAATAATAGTAATCTTATTGGATATACTCTCTAATACAAAATATATCCTTCAGTCAACTTAGTTTTGAAGTCATTTTTGATCAGAATACCAAGGACTGAAACACCATGTTGACCGTGTGTTTGCTTGCCTACGTGATTGTGGCACAATATTTGTTTAACAAAATTATACTTTAAATGGAAAGGAACTTAGTCACGTTTGCCTTCGTATTTACGTCGCTAATTCGCGCAGCAATTACATACATATGCTACAAAGTACTTCAGTAAGATGATGACGTCAATTTCAATAAACGCAGCAGAAGGTACTGGTACGCCTGGAAATTGTTCGTCCGCATCCCAAGGTGAAATAACAAAAAATCTTGGGCATCCCTTTAAGCGTTGGTAGTCTTTCTTGTCTACATCATGTCCAAGCCCAAATATGCCAGTAATCTTAAACCGCTAGTGGGTGAGCCCCTAGATAATGAAGTAAGTGCTATCCAATAGTGCATCCATAATAAGACGTTTCCATAATGCCTACACTCAGCCTATGGCAGTAAACTTTAATCGTCAGAAATCATGTCAGGAGGAGACTGACCAAGTCGATAGTGAGTCTGACAAAGTATCTTCCGAATTCTCAGCTGATATAGAAGTGCCCGCATAGAGAGTTAAATGCCACGCACCGCGGAAGAAGCCCAATTAGAGAGGATACAGTGTGTGGGAAGAGAGAAGCACAAGAGTACGGAAACAAAGTTTAAACTTTGGCAATAAAGATATTCATGACTGCTTTCCGAAGGGCATTCCGCTGCTATTACAGAATGGCAAATGTCTGAATAAGACCTTTAACAAGATCCGCTGTGGCATAATATGGTGCACGACTATTCTTACCTTTCTTCCTGCATTTCATCTTTCAACTTTGAAAATTGGGTACATTACCTGGTAATGCACGAACTCCGCGTTTCAGTGAATTTGATTACAAATGCCTTATAAGGAAACATTTAATACAAGACAAAACGTCCTGTTGGCCGGTAATGCAGCATCGGCTGTTGCTCTTTCAACGGAAGAGAAAACGTATTAACAAATTCTACTAGCGTGTGCTCGCTCCAAAATATAATTTTTGCCATCGGTACAATTAAGCTGGAACGGTTTATATAAATAAAAGTGTGACGCTATTAAAGTAAAACTGCTTACGTTCTGATATAGAAGATAAAATTATACATCTCCACAGGCATAACCCATCCTTATTGACCGACAAGGTTGGACACTGTTTTGAGGTGGCGGGGTTGCTTGTCGCGGGTAACAACGTTGTTGAAATTCAATAACTGCGATTTTAATATAACCAACGAGCAATATAAGTCGCTTCACACTGAATACAAACGAAGTTTCATACTTGAAGTTTACTCGCTCACTTCATAACTTCTGATACAACCATGTCGGATTTCGGGATTTTAGAGGACAATGCTCCTTTGATGCTGTTGCCGCAACCAGATTGTTCCATCTGCATTGTTACCGGTAACTTGGACAAACGGGATAAGCCGTACACGAGGACACTTGTTTTAGTAGATTTACTAAGCTTTTATACCAGAAGATTTAAGAATCTAGAAGCTGTGTACAACAAACACAGTTGCCGTTCATATCAA